TCTCTCTCTCTCTCTCTCTCTCTCTCTCTCTCTCTCTCTCTCTCTCTCTCTCTCTCTCTCTCTCTCTCTCTCTGCCGATCTCTGGCTATGGTGGCTCCTTCCAACTCGCTGCTGCAGCTCCGCCGGCGTGGACAACGGGTACCAGCTCTGATACCAATGCAATCAGACTCAACTTTGGACTTGCTCACAACATGCACACTTGAGAACCGATGGCAAACCAAACTCTTCTAACTCAGGAACAAGAATGAACTTGCTCTTAAACTCTGTTCAGAACAACTGTACAACTTGCGGCTATGGCCGCCGAACACTGTCTCTACCACCAGCCTCACTCTCCCTCACTCTCACATGCATGCACGTACGAGGATCACCCTGAATGTCCACGCTGCACAGCCACTCAAACTCTGTACACTCTGTCTACACCAACAGCTGGGCGGTTATGGCCGCCGTTGTCTTCCTCCTAGTTATCGCTGCTGGTGTCTCCCTCGCTGGTTCGCTATGGACGCTGTCTTCTTCACAGCCCACTTCCTCTCCGGGCACCTGCAGACCTCCACGCACAAGATACCAAGGCAGCTCTTCCGCATGGCTCACAGGCGAATGAATGAATGGCTGGACGCTTCCTCTTTATTTATACTCCTTTGGAGGTACCCGGGCCTGCCTCAAGACGTGTGGGTCTGGGCCAAAACGTGTGGCCCAGGGAAGTTTCCAGACGTTTGGCCTTCTAGGCCAAAACGTGTGAAACCCAGTGTGCTCCAGAACCTTCCCCACGTGCAGCATCTACCCCTGGTACTTGCTGACTGGACTGGCCTACAGGGACCTACGACCTTCTAAAGCCTACAGACCGACAGAGAGACTCTAGGCCCACAGTAGACTCAGGTAGAGACTTCTAGAACAGACTGTTTAGGACTACTGGTAACAGACTCGACTGCTAATCTACAGACCTAGGGATCAAGTCCTACYGTCCAACCTACAGACTAGCGAAGGACATAGGACAGGTCTAGGGTTCAAATCCTACTCAGGTCACTGGGTCTATGTACAGGTATAGGGTAGGTCTAGGGATCGAATCTCACTCAACACACAGGTTCAATGTACAGGGTTAGGGAACAGGTCAAGGGATCGAATCTCTGTGTCTGCAATGTCGGGTCAACTGGGTGAAACCGTTTCATGTGTGTGTGTGTGTGTGTGTGTGTGTGTGTGTGTGTGTGTGTGTGTGTGTGTGAGAGAGAGAGAGAGAGAGAGAGAAAGAGAGAGAGTTGCCCAGCTGATTCGAATCTGAAAAGGGTGGGGGAACCACGCAATATAACAGGCGAATAAAAATAAATAAATAATTAAAAAAAATCAAGGTGGCGCATCTGGTGCACCACCCCCGGGCATGGCCTGCGCGTGCGCGCGCATCAGCGCATGCACATGTGTAATCCGCGCATGGCGCATGGCGCATGGAGATGCGCCATGCGCGCATCTCCATCGTGCGCATGGCGCACCGCATGGTGCAGCGCACAAATGCGCCGCAAGTATGATTATGACCCTGCGTAGTTTGTTCGCAAAAGTTTCGAAAACATTGCTTGTAGTGATGCGGCAAAAAATCCCGAATTTTTGGGCTTCCATTCCTTCCATTAACCGCTAGTGCCTGCATGTACTTTTTTTTTGGGTGGCGGGGTGGAGGCAGCTCGCCCTTAATCAAAATCAATGTGGGGAGCCTTATGTGAGAGAGACAGTAAAAGGGGAGCTGCAAGAACAAAGAGAAAACCTACATGTATGACGTACTAAAAAACATAAACAGAAAGGTTCCGAAGCAACTTCAAAATAAAAGACGTTCACAAAACAAACTCTCACACAAACTCACTTTTGGCCATGTGCGGTCCCAAAAACAAAAACAAGAAATGCCCTTAAAGGTTGAAACAATTTTGGGGGTCACCCTCGATGTTGGGAAGGGTCGACGCCAACCCAC